GGGCAGCAATATATCATAATTGATATGTTTTGTGATATGATTAGAGACCATAATTTCACTGACTTTGTCTGGAAAACTAAACAGGGGTGAGACTGTGATTGGGGTGCTTAGCCAGAGTCACAGCTCTACGTACCCTGTTAATACCCTGCTGGTCGTTAGCTGTGAAATAACGAGAGCGAGCCTCGTACCGCACAGAAGTAGGCACCTGTTACTGCAGTTCCACGTGTTAAGTACGATACGAATTGCTGGTTGGGCCGAGGTAAACACTGGGAGAGCTGGGGTGCTAACTGAATTCCTTTTTTTTACAGCGTATCATACACGGGAGAAATCTGCGTCTGGCATCAGGATTCAAACAGAAAGTTGTGAGACCACAGCAGTTGTTTCGTTTGGAGGGAAAAAAAAAAGGACTTGGAGAACTTCATTTACGCCTCGCCACAAAGCCAAGACACGCCAGCAGCGCTGACACACGAGCCGACGTTGCCGTTTGAGGTAAGACAGGCATGTTAGTTAAACTGTCTGCAGTTTTCAAATTCATGTAACAGGGCATTGGAAAAGAGCTGTTGTGGGAGTGAAACATTTCTGTACGCACTCGTGCGACCCCGTTACAACCGCAGTGCGACCCCTTTACAACCGTAGTGCCCCTCCGTGCCAGATACGGAGGAGGTATCCGTTACGAACCTGAGGTTACAGTGTAAGTAAACTCGTGTAAGATGAAGTAATGGAGCCCACACAGCTGTATTTTCATCAGGAGGAGTGCAGTCTGCTGAAGAGAAGATCAAAAACTTAACTGCTCTTTTTTAAAGAACAGGTTTTGTCTGAATTGCTGTATGGAACACATAACCAAATGTAGTTTTTTTAAGAAGTGCTGTGTAAGGAAGGTTAGTTTGTACTGGCAAGTAGCTTTTCAAGTCACAGCTACTGCAACTAACGGGAAAAAAAAACCCAAAACAAGCTGGAAATGATGGTGGGAAGCTATGTGGTGATAGAAATTATGGAAAGCTTCCAAGAATATGGAAAACAAGATACCCATCTATTTTCATATTCTGGAAATGACTGTAATGAGCCCTAAGAGGAACTCTCCAAACATTTCCAGCTGTGCCCATAGTCTTTGCTACGCTGCAACCGAGCCCACAGCAGCAAAGAGGGGTGATAAGGGACATCATAGCATGGAATTTATCCTTTCACCGGAGAGGATGGTGAGGCACCGGCACAGGTTGCCCAGAGAAGCTGTGGATGCCCCATCCCTGGAAGTGTTCAAGGCCAGGCTGGATGAGGCTTGGAGCAACCTGGTCTAGTGGAAGGTGTCCCTGCCCATGGCAGGGGGGTTGGAACTAGATGATCTTTAAGGTCCCTTCCAACCCAAACCGTTCTGTGGTTCTATGAATTTACGTAGTGCCGAGCGTGTAACTCTGTGTTAATCATAAGCTGAAAGAGTAACCAGCATTTCCAAATAACATTTTTCTTTCTGGGGAGTGAAATTCCGTTACAAAAGCTTTGTAAATGCCAACCTGTGGTTTTGCAGTGGTACCCTGTGCCTTTAGGAAAACCAGGTTTTAATCAAATAGGTTTTATGAAAACAAGGAATCTTCACCTGCTCCTTTTCCATTGCACAGAAAAGGCCACACCTGCTAATTTTTTTTAGTACAATATTCCACCCAACACTACCTGAGCAGACACTGACCATTTCCATGCTGAGGACCGCGGAGGGTGCTACTCTTGCTAAGAGCTGTGTAGCGCAGCGCTGAAATGAAGGATCCGCGTTGAGTCGGGCCATACGGGAAGCAGAGATCGGAGACACACATCCTCTCCTTGTTGTTTGGGAAGGTTAAACCCTAAGTTACTGCGTCTCCATGACTGTTCGAGCCTGACCAAGCTAAACTGAATTAAAAACAACGTAGAAGCGTGTATATTTGCATTTCTCTTACCTTCCTCGATTCATCTGGGCCTCCAGCGAGCCCTTCCAGCTGTGGTTCGGGGGCACAGTAATTCCAGCAGCACCTACGGAAACACTTCGGCTGCGAGATGCTGAGCCGGAGCTTATACCACCACTTCACGCCTGTTAGAGAAGCCAAGTGCCCAGCCTGACAGGTTGAACACAGGTGCCCCAGAGAACGTGTTTACGACGGCATTTGGTTTCCAGCATGGAACCAGACAGGCTGCTCGCTGTAGCGCGCACTCCGGCCAGGCACCTGCTTCTGGTCTGGATGGAGCCGGCCCTCGGATGAGCCCTTCGTGCACGCCGCCGTTGCTAGCGATGGTACAGCCACAGCCTTGCTGGCAACAGCTCGGCTGCTGCAAGGAATCGATGGCTGCGCAGATTTAAACTTGCTTTCTTATGCCAGGGGAACCGAACTTTGGCGGTTGGTAGCTGCTCCCGGCGAATGTTGGCACTCGGGAGCTGCTCTTACCGCCCCGACCAGGAGGGACCGGACTGTTGCTGACTCGCAGAGGATGCTGCTGAGAAACTTTGGCAAATACTGTGGATTTGCCAAAATACAAGGGTGGCTGTGTACAGCAAGAATCTGTAGAAGTACTGAGCACTGTCAGAGTTACAGAACCATCAGCAGGGAGTCGGCGCGTAGGATTTTGGAAGAGTGATGTGGTAAACACGTGTCTGAGTCTCAATAACAGCAGCCAGCAGTTTGAGAGTAACTCACCCATGTGAAGGTTGGATTCTTTTTTCCCTTACAGCACCGGTGAGTCCAAGGAGAAGATAAAGAACTTACTGATCACAAAAGCGGTTGCTGTGTTACGCCTGCATAAGTGCATTTCATCGTTCGTAATTTACATAAATCAGTGTATTTACATACATTGGAAAGGCATTAATGCGTGTCTTGTGAAAAAGGCTGTCTGAAGTCGGAAATCAGAGACTGATTTGGGTTGGGAGGGACCTTAAAGCCCGTCCAGTTCCAACCCCCCTGCCATGGGCAGGGACACCCTCCACTCTGGTATTTGCCCGCAGCTGATGCACTCCCGTGGGGGAATACGGACAGGCACTGCCGGCATCTCCGCTTCGCCGCCGCCCTGGCGGGAAGAGCCAGATGGAAGGGATGGAGGCAGGGCTGAAGCATCCCTTTGGAGCCAGTTACTGACACGCACGCTGGCTTTCAGCTGACAAGGCAGTAACGTTCTGCGGTCGTTTCAGCTGGGCCGCGTTAGGAAAGCGTCGCAGGCTCACACGGCTCTGAAGCGCCCTTGTGCCATCTCCGTTCCGGAGGTGAACCCGGATCTCCGCGCAGGCGGCGACGGGCCACGAGCAGCACTTAGGTGGAAAACTCACCTGACACCTCTATCAGGTTTGTCCCCGCTACGTTCACGTTTCGTAACTCACCAGGAAAACCGGTTTCTTGGTTTCTTCCATCTTTTCTCGCCGTTCAGCTGAATTTAAAACCCGTAAATACAGTTTCTTCATTCCTTTGAGGTAATATGGGGTTTTGAAAATACTTCAGTACTTGTGTTCATCCAGCAACAAGAACCTGAGACCTGTGGGTGCTGGATTCATGCTGAAGAATGGAGGAGTATGCAAAACCTCATTGGTTCTGTATAAATTTAGCATCACCACTCAAAATTTTCACTTTTTTCTAGCAAGGACTGGATGCTCGCATGTGAATTCAAAAAAAACCTCTGGGCTTAAACTCTGCTTTTTCCAGATCCACCATATGAATTGAGGGAAAGTTTTTTTGGTGTTTTCTTTCACTAAAGAAAATCTTCACACAAATAACAACAACAACAACAACAAAAAAAACCACCTCCACTCCGAGCGGCAAGAACACCTCTAAGGACCGTCTGCACTGTACTCACCAACCACAAGTTCTCTGACACTACGTGCGTAAGACTCGGTAAAACAAAAAGCCCACCAGTGAGACCCCCATGAAACCTACTCGATCTGGAAGCAGGAGTAGGTAACTGCAGTTAGAGAGGAAGGAAAAGACACGCTGCGTCGCAGGATTCTGGATAACGACACGCGTTCCCGTGCAAGGACACGCGCCAGTGTTTTATTAAAATAAAAAGCTTTAATACTTTTGCATTTAAAAGGTTGAGCAAAAAGAAAGTCGTCGCTACAAACGTGCCGCAACGACGTGCGTGTTCAAAAAGTTCTCAGTGCTTTCTTCCGAGGGTCGGCATTTTGGCCGAGGCGAGTTTTTTCCTGTGTATACTTCAAAAGCCGGCTATCGTAATACTGATACAAAATACTTCATGTAGGCTAAGGTCAGGTGCATAAAATACAACAGGTAATAGAACATACTGTTTGTGTAAACATTTAAAGTATAGATTTCATTAGATAACATGCAAATACTGCAATATTTTAAATGGCACTTAAATATAGATACCGAGATTCTTTATAGTTTTGCATCCGGTGCGAGGTTCTGAACTGTACAAAACTCTAAAAAGACCCTATTTCTTCACTGAAGTCAGGTACTAGCGTAGAGCTTGATTGTCACTCGACAAGCACCGGGCCCAGTGTCCCGCGACTCTTCACCGGCCCAAGTAAAGACGTCTGCTGGAACAGGCCCAGGGCTAGTTAGCTGTCTTCATAATAAAATAGGAAAGCTTATTTACACGAGAATAAACCCTTTACATTTTTGGTAAGTTAATTAAGTAGCAGCAATTTGTCACTTCCAAAACCGGTGTTTAAAACAGGCGGGTGCTTTCCGCTGACGTGGATCCAAGCGATACCGAATTAACGTTCTTCAATAAACTCAAACCGCTGACAAAACCAAGCCCAACCCCGTAAGCTCCCTCCTCACAAACGTCCTAAATCCATCACGTCAGAACCTTCCACAGCGTGCGTGCGTTTCCACGCCCAGCGGAAAACCACCCGGTCCCCCTGAAACGGAGCGTAACGAAGAAATGACCCCTCTTCTCACATCGCTCCCAATACTTCTGGTTCTTCACTGAAAAACACGAGTTCACCAAAGCTACGATTTTCGATGAGCGATTCGGCGATGACGAGCGCTCCCCCAGTACAGAACACCGCGCCGCTCGCTCGCGCGCGCTTCCTAAACGACCACGTCTCTTAGGGCTGGCACGGCGAGCAAGAGGCTGAGGAAGAGGGAGTGCACAACGGGCACCACTTGAATGGAGGGAGAAGAAACGCTAAAGGAAACCTGCACCCGAGACGCGATCAGAGCCGAGAGCGGCACGTGCGACGCTAACGTTGGGCTGTCCGAATTTATCAGGGACTCGATCTTCTCTGCTTCCTTATTGCAGGCTTCAATCTAAGGGGAAACAAAACATTTAGCATTTCTGTTCTTGCCAGGTCACGTGCCAGTGCAAAAATGTTGCTAAATTCCGGGGAGGAAGTCTGAGTTATTCCCGCCAGCACCTCAGATCTATGTAATTTTGGGAGTATGTCTTAGAAAACCACGTTCGAGCTCTTCTCACAGACTCTGGTACTACAAAAAGTACTGGTAAGCCCCGAGTAGCAGCAAAAGGGGAGGAAGGACGCTACGTACAAGCTCGTGTTGGTGATGTGTTTCAAATGTGAACGCCAGCAGCTCACGGTAAATTGTGACTCAGGCGGCCCTACGACTGAGGGCTTCCTGCCTGACCGACCCTTGCGCTCTGCAACACTGGAAAAAGCAGGGGTTTCTACTTATTGGGCTTCTTCTTCAAAATCAGGGCAGGCTGATTTCTTTTATGGGAAGGGAAGAGAAAACTGGAGGCAACAGGGAAACCTGAGAAAGCCCAGGTTTACATTCCCCCGCTGCACAGATGACAATTATGAATTTGGGTTAGAAAATCCATTTTTTTCCCCCCACCTTACCTTCTATTGCAACCCAGGAATCAGTTTAGTACCAAGTCTCTTGGACAGCTGTGGAAGCTACCTCTGGTGACATTTTAACTTAACAAATTCGATATCTGGAGGCCCAAAGCTTTGGAAGTTGAGGGTCTTCTACCTCAGCAGGTGACCAGCGAGACGAGCAGCTCTGAGGTGTCAGGTGGCCTCTCTGATTCTCCAGAGGGTCCTCCTCTCCCCAGGAGTTTTATGGGAGTGAGGGCTGACCGGACGGGCGTGGCTCAAGGCCTTGTTTCCTAAATCCTGAAAACATTTTGGGCTATTTCTGCTAAGGGAGGAGATGGAAGTTGGAGCCGGGCTGGCCATAACAGGGTTGCTCCAGTAGCATGGACCAGCAAAATACACAGGTCTGCCTGAGGAACGGCCACCCTGTTAGATACTCCAGCTTGCAAAGTTTATTGCAGTGATTCTACCCCCTCACACTCTACCACAGCTTCAGCCCGTCCCAGGCGCAATCCTGAGCACGCAAAATTAGTCTGCAGTAAAAGAAAAATGGGAATGTGGAGCGGCCACCAATAGAAAATGAACAACAAGGAAATGAACCTGCTCGAAGGCTGAAAGAGTTGGGCTTGTTCAGCCTGGAGAAGAGAAGGCTCCGGGGAGCCCTTATAGCCCCTTCCAGTGCCTGAAGGGGCTACAAGGAAGCTGGGGGGGACTTTTTACAAGGGCCTGTAGTGACAGGACAAGGGGTAACGGGTTTAAATTGAAAGTGGGGAGGTTTAGATTGGATATCAGGAAGAAGTTCTGCCCAGAGAGGGTGGTGAGGCACTGGCACAGGTTGCCCAGAGAAGCTGTGGATGCCCCATCCCTGGAAGTGTTCAAGGCCAGGCTGGATGAGGCTTGGAGCAACCTGCCCTAGTGGAAGGTGTCCCTGCCCATGGCAGGGGGGTTGGAATTGGATGGTCTGTAAGGTCCCTTCCAACCCAAACCGTTCTGTGATTCTATGATTTAATACACAATTAGTTTTAAATCAAAAGGACATTTAGTAATTTAGTTATTTTCATCAGTTTGTATGTCGTTATTTTAGCCACAGAAAGTCGAGTGTTCTGCATTTATTAATTTTAAACCAAAAATCATACTACTCTATCCTTTGCCTTTCTTCACCTCCCCCCTCTAACTACCCACACTCCAAAGCCTCATAGTGGAGTTCTCAAGACACATTTTACCCTCCGTAACACTAGCAAGTCAGATCTGAGTCACTGGAGAAGTACCCATGCATTCAGTACGCCGAGAAATGCACAATTTTAAAACTGCTGTAGTGAAAATAGTAGAGAGTACACATATAAAAATGAAGTAAATCTATAGTGGATTAAAAAAACCAACAATGTAGTCTACCTGCAGTGGTTTGGGATTCTGATCCACAGGAATGATGAGGATCACAATTTCGGATTCTATGCTTAAGTATCCAAAGACATCACACTGCGGCACTGAGACATGCAGGCGGATTTTTTCGAGTATGTCAAGTACTGTTATGGGCTTTTTATTTGTTACCTGGAAGAAAACAAAGAACTTAATGGATGATGTGCTGTTACACAAGATTACCTTTCTCCTTTTCAGGTTTAACAACTTGATGTCATGCCAGAAAATCTGTTTCAGCCATTGTAATCTCTAGAAAAAAAACCAACACCCAAACATCGAAACAACGTAAAAAGTGGAAGAAAGAAGGGGAGAAGATGATTTACTTCTTCAGTCACCCATGGTTTTGATACGCCTTGTTCTCCACCTTGGTGGCCAGTGTGTGTGTGTATCCCACACCCCCACATGAGGTAAGTGGTTGTCGCAACAGCGGCTTGTCGTCCCGTGCTGGGAAACCAGCGGCGGAGCAGCTCTTCTCCCTCACCATCATAGAACCTGTCCCCAGAGCCACCAGCAATGAAAAGCTACGGCTTTGTGAAGACAGGTCTATGTCCGTGTATACGGGAGCTTCGTGAGCGCTGCACGACGAGTACATTTTTCTCCTAAAATTCGTCTCTCTCTTGTGCCGTGTCTCTGACAAACAGTAATTTGGTGGTGGCTACTCAGCCTGTTTAAGGACTGCCACACCTTAAAGCCTTTCCGTGTTTTTTTCCAGGTCACTTCTGGATGTGTTGACCAGTACAGACACCAACTTCACTAGTGACTTCTGGTCATCCTGTTGTGTCCTGTTTTCCAGCTTCAGCTGCCAGAAACCTGCCCTTCTTATCCTACTGGAGCTTCATTCCTTTTAAGACCACAGGTGCAGGACCTTAGCCAATGGAAATTTGGGAAATCCAAGTAGACCACATGAGTCAGATTTGCAAGGTGTCACGTAACACTGTCTTTACCAGATTTTTGAGGGATTTCCCTGTCATAGCCCCAGTCAGTCTGACATGCTGACTGATCAGCAAACCCTGTCCAAAACAGAAGCATATGGATACTTTAAGGACGACTGATAGTGTCAAACTTGGATTTTAATGTCTTAGATTACGAATCCAGTAGATCAGATCAGAATTTTAGCAGATCTCATGTTTCTTTGCTCTGCACAGATGCTGACTTTTGTTTCTTGCTATCCTCACGTAAAAGGCCACAGGGGTGGGGGGAGAAAAAGGTCAGATTTGTAGAACTCTTTGGTATTTGAAGCATTTTTTTCTCTTATGAACGACCAGCCTGAACTAAACCAGGCGTACCTTACTCTTCCTTACCCCCTGGAGCTGGTTAAAGCACATGGTACCATTTCTAGCAATGACTCCATCTAGCTGAGACTTAACCATCTCCAGTCCCGTGGATGTAATGCTACACGTGTATGCGCACCGTCAAGGGCAAGAACCGCACACCAATCCTACGGTTTTACTGATGGAATCAGAGGAGATCCATGCTATTAATGTGCATTTCACGCAGATGACAGAAGTATTCAAATCCACTCAAGGACACAGTTTCTTTTGTATTATTAGGAGATACCAGCTGGCCTACGAGTCACACTGGAGTAACGAAGGCATAGAGCTTCCAACTCTATACTAAGGGTAGTGTCACGTCGAGCACAGTCTCCAGGTAGCTGTGACCAGTTAGATACCATCTCTGGCAGCTTTATTGGATGACCCTGGATTGAAGTTTCCGAAGGAGAGAGCTTCAGTCAGACTTCTGTAATTTCTAGGATGTGCCAAGAGAATGCCAAGCCGAACGTTTGGGAGATCGCATCGTTCATACGTATACACTTGAGTCTGAAAACCTGAAGGCTCTGCACTGTGGCATTCAGCAGGTGAGAGAAGAGAAAGTCAGGAAGAATGTGGTGATAAAGGGAAGAAAAATAGAGGGGGAAAAAAAGCAGGAAAGTGACTGGACTAGGGTGCTTTGTAGGTCAGAGAAGAGCAGTTACCAGCGACCACTTCAGTAACCACTCAAGCCCAATGAATTCCTTTAACTGGAAAGCTGCCTTCTAACTAAAACTGAAACGCCTTCACACCACGTGGTGTCATGTATGAACGGAGGAGCTGCGGGAGTCGCCGTGTTCCCGGGAGACATTCCAGGGTGGAATTGTGACCTGCCAGGTAAGTTACTCAACACAAACACACAATCTCCGAGCGGAAACGAGCGGAACATCAAGCAGCAGTACACCCTTGAGAAGAAGGCTGACCGTGCACCGGGCTGCAACGGCAAGGACGGAGCCAGCAGAACTCATCATCCCCCTTTCTTTACCCCCTGCTCCCCCTCCCCAGGCCACACAGACAGACTGGAGAGAGCCCGGCAGCGTTCACTCTGGGAAATATCCACTCCTGGAGGTTTTAAAAACTCAGCTGTCCGAGCTGATCAGACTGGAGTTAACCATGCTTTGAGCTGGGGGTTGGCCCAGGGGATCTCCAGGGGTCACGTTCAAGCTAAATCTTTCTGGTTTTACAATAATAGCTAATTATCTCTACTTCTAAACACATAAACAGGTTAATGTAATTTCATACTGTTTTGGCAAAACTCTCTTTCTTCTTAATATTTAAACCAGTGAAAATCATGTGCAGATGCAAACACGAATTATTTTGCTTCACCGGGCATGATCATCGCATTCCTCCATTTTGGTGGGATGTCGGGCCCAAAATCAAGCATTCTGCTCTGTTCTGCACACTGAAGCATAAACGCAGGGCTCCGTGAAGTGCAGGCCTTTTACACACCACGTGGGGACTCCAGGCCTAGCGTGTTGCGTTCAGTGCTAGACAGCCAACATCAGAAGATCCGTCTTACCCTGGAGGTTTTCAAGGAGCAGCAATGAAGGCTGCTGGTGTCTCACTTACAGAGATGTTAACTTAAAATCCAGCATTTTAGCTGATGAGCAACGAAATGGGTGACAACTGTTGAGGTTACCCAAAGAGTGTAAACCAATCCAATTTAAACATAAGACAAAGTCAGAACTAAGTTACCTGCATTAGGAAATAGTGATCTAGCAGAAGCACCTCAACAAAAAGGCCTTAAATAACAAATATGCACTGTATTACTACCATGAGATGGATGCACTTCCCATATAATTTCTTTCCTATTACAAGTCATTTAAACTGCAAACCTGAACGTGCTTGTTTGTGCCTAATCTAATTGTTTTACTTCACACTGTAATTCAGTTTCCATACCTGATATTAAAAAAATAAAGTATAAGCAGGGGAAAAAAAAAAAGAAAAGAAAGAAAAAACCCCAAATCACACATTAACTACTGAAAAATAATTGGGTTTATAATGCGTTAACTGTTCAGGAGAGAGGATACAGTAACTGGACTTTTCCAGGTACCATTTAATGTAAGGCATGATTAAACTGTTTACCCTTGCAAACGTATCCAGCTTGTCTTTGTCATATAGGATCCTCAGCATTCCGGCACACAGCGGACAGCAGGCTCCTATGTGAACAAAACCAAATCTCAGCAACAAAAGCAAACAGTCTGTTCACTTGTAAGCAAGCAGAGGTTAATGTTAGCTGAGAATGGAAACAGCAAAACTACCAAAGCAGAGTACATGTTGCAATTTGAGAGAAGAACGGCACAACCCCTAAGATTTTTTTAATGCTGAAAACACGTGTGTAATGCAAAAGCAGTCACCCTTCAACACGGGTTTACTCCGATCGACACAGAGCCACAAGATGACTTTTCATTTGTTTCAAGACGATACATCATCGTCAGCTGAAAACTGCAGGCACTTTGCGTACTACAAGCCAGGGTTTTGTAGGGATGCAGGCACGTGCTACTACAGAAACGATGACTTGCCAGCACTGAGATAGCTAGGACATGACAGAAGCAATTATGCACATTGCAAACACTAATTTATGCAGTTATACCAGCTTGGAGCTTAGAATCTTTACATAGTAAGGAGGGGAAAAGGACTTGCCTGACAGATCCGTGTTTAACACAGCAGGAGCATGTCAAATTTCTGCTACTGTGTTTCCTCACTGTCTCAGAAACCAAAGGGCTAATATTTCAGCTTTATACCCATGACTATGTAATTCACCCCCAACTTATTATATGTAACTCACAGAGTGACTCTTACAATATTAAATGTAATACCAAGGCACAAAGACCCTTTTTCGAACCAGTGAATGAATGTGTAAAACTCTCTTTTTAGATACGGAGCTCTGTGATTAGCTGCTGTTTCAGAAAGGAAGTGTTTGTGAAAGCGGTAAAAAAAACCCAGTTCAAAACAGCACATCTGCATAACTATTCCTACTATCTTCCTCTTTCACAGTTGTGTAAATACATATGGCACCTTACTCTGTCTTCTAATTATCATCTTTGTTCTTCTTGGAACTCTACTTTGATGACGGTTTAGCATTTCAGTGTGGTTATCTGCTGCCATTTCCCCAGAATTACTCATCTGATTCCCAGCTACGACACTCGACACTCTACCCTAGAGACCGCAGACCTCATGAGTTTCTCCCAGACCAGGCCGACCAGGCCGCCTGCAAGTTTCTGAAGGCTGAAGGAGCGCGACTCCTACAGCCAGGGCCTCATCACTTCAGAATTATTTGGCTGAGTCCAGCTTGGTCTAGCCCTAAGTAAAGATCTCTAGTTCATCCTTTCTCTTAGATGTCTCAAAGACGTTATGGAGTACAATATTTTAAAGCCTGAGTTTTGTTCCATATACACACCGTTTACACACAGAGCCTGGGGACTTTCCCAGCTGCGGTTAACTCCAACGGTGAGTGAACGTACCTGGTGCAATAACCGGCTTGCAGCCAGCAGCAGAAAGCTGGGGACATTTAACAAAGGCACACTCCGTGTGAAAGCCGTAGTCGGAGAGAACGCCTACAGCCTGACAGTGTCCGTAATAGTCAACGGCCACGCGGTCGGCGTAGGCAGCGCAGACACTGCTGTAGGTTTCTCCGTTATGTCCACATACGGGTTCTGCCGGTTTGCAAAATGGCTGAAACACACAGAAATATTTCACAGATCCATCTATTCATGCTACAGACCAAACTTCACACAGAAATATTTCACAGATCAATTTATTCATGCTACAGACCCAACTTCAGAGTAGCCCTAATGCTAGGAAAGCCAAAGTTAATGGGAATTCACTGCTGATACTCAAACATTCAGAAAAAGTAGGATATTTAGAGTAAATAACCGGCCATATAACGAACGGGTAATAAATGCAAAGAACAAGTACTTAAAAAAGGTGACAGAATATTTTAAGTTGTAGTCTGAGAAACGTACGATCAGACATGTTTCGGGAAACAACCATTTTTGTTTTGTGCTAATGCTTAAATAAAACGACCGTGTCATTTAAATTAACTTACTCATTAAATTAAAGATTATTACAAATTTCACTATGTAATACATAAGGTATCATTCCATTAATAAAATTAATTTATTCATAAAAGCAGGTATTGGAATATTTTACATTTTAATGGCTTACTAATAACTTATTCATTCATATATGTGTTTTTGTGCTCTTAAAATCTAGGGTGCGTGCATGTATTTCTAACACATTTTGTGTGAATCTGAATGTATACATTTACTTCAGGAGAGTAAAACCCATTACCAGACACCTCTGTCAAAAACATATTCATTGTTGAGACCTTGACATCTATAAAAATATATTTACTGTGTCCGTTTTCTCTCAGAAAAACAAATCTAGCGTGCCATTTGATTCACACACATGCAAAAATCAAAGAAAACTGTAATAGAGTTTCTCCCTATCCCACCTATGCATGTATTCAAGAGGCCAAATGCCAGTAAACCGAAGCTTCTGAACATGGACAGAAGCCAATGGAATTGCTGACTCTTTGCAAACAAGGTATGACTTTCACAAAGTCTTTTGAAACGACACAACTCATTCCCTAATTTCTTGCTAAGGTGGGAATATTTTATTCAACTAACTAATATTTCAAGTAGCTGTATGATCACTGTACAGCCTCTACACCAGCAAGACGGCTACTGGTTACACACCTAACCTAGCAACAACATATAGAGGACAAGTAAACATCAGCACCCCAAAGTTTCCTATTTGCAGTCATCTTCCCTATAAAAGCAAGAGTGAAAACTTAAAGCTACCAGTATGCAAAGACTTTGGGAACATGGATACCACTAGACACAGAACTGCTGGAGAAAAAAAAAAAGCCATGCAATATTTCTTTGATTCTTACTGTTCAAGGGCTGAACATTCCCTGAGTATCTCATGAGAGATCTGATGTGCAGTGAGAAGAACTATTTGTACTTACCAAGGTTGCTGAAAAAGGGCAAGAAAAAGAACGTATAAAGACAGAAAGGCAGAAACTAAAAGTGGGTTAAAAGAGCAACAGCATTTATAATACAGAAAAGCCCTGACAAAATGTTATGTACTTCTAAGAATATCTATTAGTTGACACCAAGAGAAGGTCTCAGATTAATCTTCATAATCTCAGAAAAGCCTGGAGATGGACAGCCTATCAACAGTAAAGAGCCTGTTGAGACTTTTCTTTTAAAGCTATAGATGTAGCTTGTCTACCACCACCACAGGGAAAGGTCTGATGGAAGAACTAAACCTAAACCTAATCCTTCTCAGGGATTAGAATGAGACTAATCCAATCCAGACTCGCTAAAGAAAAACATTACTGCCTACAAAGAAACCTCATCAACAAAGCTTAAGTGTAAATAGGTCCTGAACTTGGTAAACCTGGGGCACAATCACACCAAATGTTAAAGACTTTCTAGGACTGGGCATTAATTTTCATTGAAAACGAGTTCAAATTAGTAAAAACTGGCATTAAACTAACCAAGGATGTGCACTAACTACTGCAAACATACCTCGGTGCAAGCTTTAGTAGTGAAAAATATAGGAAGACTTAATACAAATATCAATTATCCCCAAGAAAGCACAAGTAAAGCTTTTGACTGGTTTTGAGACAGCTGTTAACTACAGCAGGGAAACACTTGACGAAATTCTGAATATAACTTTGTGAAAGTACTTTGTATACTAATTAAAACTACATTTTTAAGGGATGGCTTTCAACAGAACCATTTAGTAAGCCATAAAAACTGGCCTATTTCAAAACACCCATAACATTGTGAAATTGAACTTGAAAGAACAAGGGAGATTTGATATTTATTGCTAGAACCACTTCCTACCTGGCACGGTCCTCGGTATGCTAGACTTTTTCCTTTTTGGTACAAAGTACACAAGTTACTGTATTCCACATTGTCCGTGTCACAGACAGGATCCCGTGTCTGGTCACAATTTAACTGCCTCGGCACACATTCATGCTGGCTACACTGGAACTGTCCAAAACTAGTCAGGCAGACTTGTTTCTTTGGTATGCACCTGCAAAAAGTAGTAATTCTGTGTCATGTCACAGTTTGCGTTTATTTAGAGTCTCAAAATACTCAGGGAAAATATTTCAAGTGACATCTTCTGCAGTGCTTTAGACTTTTCAAAAAAAGCGGCAGGAAATGCAAGTGATAGAACAGCCCATGCCAGGCCTCATCACCAACCCGGAACCGGTTCACATTGTGCTTAGTCAGCATGTGTGAACGCAAGTAGAGATTCCACTAAAATTAATCTTTTGCCAAGTATTTTTCGATGCATTTTCTGGAAAAAAGGCTCAGATAATCTTCTTACCTACTTCCCAGGCTGCGTTTTGTGAATGTGTATTTAAGGAGAACTAGAGAAGATGTGAAAACAGTGAACTGCAAGAGAAAAAGATTACGTTGCAGAGGTCTAGCCTCACCCTGCCTTGGACAGGTAGTGAAAGTCACGTTCTGTATTACATGGTTTCAACTATAAATACCTGATCTGTTCTAGCTTTGTAGGTTCAGTGTATTACATCACATCCAATCTTGGGGATGACTGCAAGCAAACTAAAATATCTAATATTAACACCATTTCTTTTTTTGGCCTGTCATCCCTTTTAAGCCTTCATGGGTAAGTAAAGAGCAATGAATAGCAGGAAT